TTGATCAGTTTTACCATAGAGTAGTAGTATAGGTCCATGGTTTGACGTGGCAATCCGAAAATCTGAAATAATTACGATAGGTCCGGATCAGGAGTCAGAGAGGGGGGAGAGAGGGACAAACATACAGAGAGAGAGAGGGGAGAGAGGTGAGAGAAAGACAGAGGGGATGGTTTCATACAGGCCTATATATTTTGTTGTATTGCCTGAAAAGGCTAGATCACATAAAAAAAAAGCTATATAAACCGCGCTTTCATCATAAAAAGAATACTGAAAATATTTATCTCTGAATTCGTATAATTTGATAGGTCCCTACCCATTTTTGCTAGAGTATTGTAACCTTGCCATCCTGTATTTTAGTTCCACAATCTCCTGAATGACATTAGACTAGACCAACCCTTGTCTTTTATATAGTATTATGAGTGATTTAATCGCTCTGGCAGAAAGTGTTTACACAGCTGTGCATAATAGTCATAATCATAACTATAGCGGAAGTATCAAGTACACAAAATTAATGTCGATTCGTTCACATAAACCTAGTTTAACTTGTTAATCATCATATCAACATGCCTTATCAATTTAAAGATAATTGATTAACAACATGATTATTCTATGAAAATTTGAATCATAATTATGTGATCACTGCTGATTATAGGGATGCATAGGCTATGTATGGTAGCTTGGAGCAACAGTAGAAACGATTTTTTATGACGTGGCAATTTATTGGAGTATCCCCGATTTCGTGAGCACCGCTTACTAACATGCCTAAAGTGTCATTGAGATTTGTGGAAATGTTCTACTTTAAAAATACAAACCAAAACCCAATGAAACTGCAATATATTTCTCACATATGAAACAGCTAAGAATTGTTGGTCTAGTGGCATGATTCCAGCTTAGGGTGCGAGAGGTCCCGGGTTCGACTCCCGGACAAGCCCCACGTATTATTTTCCTCCCCACTCTGCATTTTATTAACTTGCCTTACTTTGACTTATGCCGTCCACGTAGGCCAGGGGCCTCGTGATGGCTTCTGTATGGTGATGGTATGCCAAGTCTTTCTGTCTGCAGCCAATCTTGATGCATCTGTCAGCCTTGGTATGGATCTTGCTTTGCAGTCCTCTGAGATGCAGTCTAGCCATCTTTTGGGTGGACGGCCTCTTTTATTTACATGCAATCCGAATTAAAATTTATTTGAAGCAGTGAACTTTATCAACTTGTACTGCTAAAAGTTTAACTTGTTAATCATGTAAAAGGGGAAGTCAACCCTGATATTAGGTTTTTTGAAATAAAAGCAGACGAATGAAGGGAAAAGGTGTTAAAGTTTCATCAAAAATATCATTTTGCTTCTTTTTCTCTTAAAGGGCCACTCTAACCCAACTAACATAGCCTTTCTCAAAACATGAATTGATACACCTCTACTTATTAATATTCCAGCCTCTGATTTTTCAGATAATCTCTAATTTGACCAAAAAATGATAATAGCCATCCATTTGTCACAGTTCTCACGCTTGCTGGGCTACGCCCCTTGAAAAATGGTAATACGGTCACGTGGCCTTGATGACGCATTTGACGTCATTGCGGGCATGTCCGATTTTTCCTACAACTAAGGATCTTACATATTAGGAATGACGAAATTGCCGGAAACGTACTGGCATTATCAAGTGCATATTATTTTTCGGATAAATGTCTTCTTTTTTTCTTCAATTGATATCATAGTTTGCCTTTTTAAAGACATTTAATGCCTAAATCAGCCTTCTTTTCACCGGAGAGGCACCTGCAGTGACGTCATAAACAGTTGCGCAATACAGCTCCGAAACTGGGCTTTTTTTTCTGAGCGTTCTGAGTCGTCACTATTAAAGCCAGATTCCAGAATTATCGATGATTTTTAAGAACAATCATTGTCATGTTCGGAATCTCCGTCAAAAATTATTCTCTTTAACATGTCTTTTTTCATTTTATAGCCCGTTTTGGTTAGAGTGGCCCTTTAATGAAAAAGCAGTATATTAATATGAAACTAGCTCCATAATATCACTCGATGCTCTAAGCAAGGCTTGTTGGTCTAGTGGCATGATTCTCGCTTTGGGTGCGAGAGGCCCCGGGTTCGATTCCCGGACAAGCCCCGTGGAGTCATTTTTGCACTTTAAATGTGTTATAATGTTTCAGTTAAACTCACATTGACAATTACTTTGTATCAATTTATATTAGCACAGCTGTTTATTCAATGATCCTAGCTACTGATATTGAAATTGATTTGTATTCCTACACACCATAACTGTCGTGGTTTACTGCAAGTTTACCTCTTAATTTATATGATACCCATGCACTTTGGGTAATATCATCTTTTGTTCGAGTATTGTATCATTGTCATTGATTATCATCATATTTATATTTCCAACTATCTCCTAAGTGACATTTCTTTTAATCGACCAACCCTTTTCTTTCTCTTCAATTTTGAGTGATTTAATCGCTGTGGGAGAGTGTGTTTATTTTTTTCATTTCATTTCAAAGACTTTATTTTCTGCAATCAAAAAAATCAGTTATACAACAAATATGGATAATTATATAAAACATAAGGTATGCAAACAATATACAAAATATAGAAACAAATGTATAATACATGAATAAGAGTAAACTTATACGTTGGGCCATTTCGTGTATAAAGAAAGAAAGCAGAAGGTCGCCGTTATAAGCAAAAGCTTGAGTAGACGGTCAACCGAGCTAAAATAAAAATGAGTTGTGAAATATTGGCAAATTAACAAGAAGAGGGGGCCATGATACTCAAATGATATATATTACAATTAAATGTGAATATAGACAGTTGTATTCAATATAAATAATTATAGAATTAGCATATGAATCTCATATTTATATGGCTACTAATTATACGTTGATGACAGAGATAAGAGAGAAACTATACAAAAACAAGGGTGCAAGTGGTGCATGTGTGTGCAAGTGCAAGTGTCCTCGAGCGCCAAAATGTTATAGATATATGCAAAGTAAACTTGATATATTTAGCGGAAGTATCCAGTACACAAAGGTCGATCCGTTTACATAAACATAATTTATCCTGATGAATATTCTTTATAATGATATCTAAGTCTAATTATATAATATTATGAATATAAACATCATATATATTTCTAAAGATAATGTATTAACAAAATAATTATTCTATGAATTGTATTACAATGATGTGATCATTGCTGATTGTAAGGTTTTAATTTTGATAGCTTGGAGTATAGCAATGGAAACAGTCTTCAAGTGCATTGGATCTTCTTGGAGTACCCTAAGAAACCGCCTTAATTAAAATAAATTAAACACTATGAACATGGAAGACAAAGAAAGAGGACAAAATATACAGTTCCTCATTCTACCCTCAACAATTGCTGTGGTAGACAAAGGAACATCCCTTTACTGATATGATGTAAAAATGTGTAGAACAGTTGAATATGTATGTGTCACCTGTTCTACACATTTTTACATACTAGCAGTGAAGGGATGTTCCTTTGTCTACTACAGCAATTGTTGAGGGTAGAAGAGGAACTGAATATTATGTCCTCTTTCTTTGTCCGTCATATTCATAGTGTAAAGCGTCGTACGTTGCCAGGGAGATTTGTGAAAGTTGTCTACTTAGCAAATTCGTACCAGAAGCGAATCAAACTGGGATATATTTTTCAGATTCCAAACATCTAAGGTTTGTTGGTCTAGTGGCATGATTCTCGCTTAGGGTGCGAGAGGTCCCGGGTTCGACTCCCGGACAAGCCCCACGTAATTTTTTTTCCCTTCCCATTCTGCATTTTATTTTGGTATTTAATCCTACTTGCAATAATGATCTTGGGCAGAGAAATCAAAATTTCATGACAAAGTAGTCACTTAAAATGAAAAAGTATTAAAAGGTAAAATGTCATTTGCGAGGATGAGTAGAGGAGAATACGGCTTAGTGAATAGTTATATGGAATGAAAAAGTTCAGTCAAGTTGTCCACAAGAGTTACATAAATTATTATTCACAATTTGCCATTTATATAAGTTTTCTTTTGAGGCAATAAACTTATGAATCATCTTGAAATTAAATTGTTTAACTTTATTAAAACGAATTTGCTTTAATTTAAACAAAAATACATCCTTCCAAACAAAGTCATTATCTAAATCTAAAAAGGAATTCCAAAAGTAAATGACATTTGGTTCACTTGATTTTTTACGCCTTTTTTATTAACAAACTATAGTAATCTTTCACCTTCATAACAAAAACATTCACTTTTTTCCCTGTTTCTATTTCTATAAGATTCGAAATATTACGTTCGTCTTCAAAATCATTAACATAGCTTAATCTGTCTAACCAAAACTGCGGAAATGCTTTCTTTAATTGTGTATATTTAAAATCAAATAAAAGCTGTTGTGCTTTCACTTTTGTATTCATTAATGTAGAGTCATTCCATATACCATGTATAATCAAATTATGGATTTTCAATAAAGCGGCATCTTGCTATTCTCGATAAAACAATATTTCTTTCTAAAAGGTAATGTTACTATTTTTTCAAAAAAAATCATTTGGAATATTTCATACTTTAAACATATCAATGAATTTTAGTTCTGATCAAGTACAAAAAAAGATCTACATTACATAGAATTGTGTGAAGATATTGTGTGCAGCGTTTCGTCACTGCAAGGTAAATGCGCTTTATACAATGCATTTTGGAAGAGATAAAATTGGCTTTGATGCAGAAGGATTTTAAATACTCATGTAATATCAGTAATATCAAAATAATTATGTGTATAAAATATTCCTTATATTCCTGCAGAGCTTTGGTGAAGATGCAATTGGCTTCGTAGAATTTAATTTAAAAAAGCGAGACTAGCGAGGAAATGTACTCAAGCAATATCTTAAATAATATCAATATCTGTTCTTAAAGTCCCATTTTTAATTTTATATTCTCCTTTCCTAACTTCGATCATTTGCTCTTTGTTGGACAATATTCTTTACCCTGTTTCCAAGTGAAATTAATCATCAACTCTCTGGAAGTATCCTGGTGCAATTCGGTTGGTATCCCAGGAGTTGCAGGACATCCAGACACTCCTTTACGATTTGTCTCTCTTCCATAACTGTCAAGTACTTCATCCACTTATTGGCTGTTTTTTGCGCATCCTTTGAAGTTGAAAATAAAGATTTGTCGCTGGAGTTTGAATGAGTCATGCCGTGGACAAACTTCTTAAGTTCTGGTTTGAGTGGCATCCCGATAAAGTTGTAAATCTTGTGAGTCTCTGTCAAAGGGGCTTTGGCGAAGTCCTCGTAAATAACAAGATGGTATCGTCCTTGTAACCATGGAGGCAATTGGTCGGACGATCTCTTCGTATTCTCTCTGATCCACTTGCACAACCCTCGAACTGTAGGGTTGTTATCGTTAATCTCTTGAATTGGGAGCATGTAATCTGGGATATCATCAAGAAGACCAAGCGGTTTAAGGCGGCCCAAGTTCGGGAAGAAAGGCCATGCTTTAGCCACATTTCGCGGATAACCGGTGTTCAGGTAGTCTGGACGAGGCAGCTCCACGGGGATCACGAACAAGGTGAATAATTTTGAGATTGATACCGTCCTCAACCACCAGCGGCTTCAGAAGGTCTAGATCGGCGTGGATGATCTTCGTGGCAAGTTTACCTTTAAATTCTTTGCAAAATTCCCCGAGAGCGCTTGCTGAGTGCATTCTGCAAGATGTACTGTTCAAACAGAGTCCTCTGTTCATATGTGAACCACCCCAATGATTTAAAATCTCAACATAGTCCGTTTTGAAATCGCACTTGGCTAAACCGCGAAGTATATCTCTGGCCATTTCTTTGCTTTCCGGAGTGTTCTGCGTTACATTCTTTAATTTCCTTAATTTTGTAGTTGGAAAGAGTGATTCGAAGATGTAGAAGAGTTCTACATTCTGGTTGAAAAGCTCTCCAAGTGCAGAAGATCCAAAACGCCATTGCGCCATGAGAATAATAAACGGAGGGGACTCATCGACTGTTGCAGATTTCCTGACATCACTCGTGCCCGTGATTGCTTTGAAAACTGGATATTCTTTCACGGTGGAAAAATTATTCCAATAATGTAATTGTATCCCGAATAAAATACAAGCATACAATGCCAGGACTGCCAAGAAGAAGCGTCCAACGCGTCCTTTATTAACCAACGCTAAGGTAAGTTGACAGGGAAACATTTCCATGATCTGAAAAGCCATTTTGAAATGCTTCAGCACAAAAATGTCCAATTTGGTACAATGCCGAGCTTGGTCGCATCTGTTAAATGATAATTCAAAATAATCGACTCACCGATTATTATGGTAACTAATATTCCAGTTCAAGAAATATTAATCTCGTCATCAGCAAAATTCAATATTGATTAGTTCCATACACAGCCCGGTATTTTGGTATCCACGAATTAGAACGATCAGATACAGATATGGCACTGTAACCAGTGCAATCAACCGGCCACGATTCTTTTAAAGTGTGGAGAAAAAAAAAACCATATCAAAACGATTGGAGCTAAAAATGAGCCCTATTGGATTTGAAGAAAATGCATCAGTCATGCTCTGTGCACACAATAAATTAAATATCCCGTTTCTCTGTGCAGCCGGTATCGTTCCACTAAGAAGAATGTAGAAACAAACTCGACAGACTGCATTAATTTAATGCCACTTTATAATATTTCGAGAAGAGAAGTAGAAAGATATTTGTTCAACCAAGGATGTGTAAACTGCGAGAATTTCAGTTCAAACTGTTGCATAAGATTTTGTATACAAATCACTATTTACATAGGTTCCGGCAGGCGTGTACGCGGGGGGGGGGGGGGGGGGGGTTAAAATTTGAAAATCGCGCCGAAAATTCGCAACGACTCAGCCAGCCGCTGAATAAGCGGGGGGGGGGGGGGGGGGGGTAAGAGGACATATTTTTGGTCCCGACAATTTGACCGATCGATATTTCTTTCCGGGGGGGGGGGGGGGGGGGGGGGGGGGGTAAGGTAACTTTTGTTTAATTATTTTTTAATTGAGGAGGGGGGAGTTTGTTTCCCAAATACACCCCCCCCCCCCCTGCATACGCGCCTGGCACTACGAGTTAGGTATTTATGTATGAATCCCAAGTTACGTAACTCCGACCCGATAACTATTTCTTTAAGAAATGAAACAAGGATTACTTTTCTGTAATTTTGCTTCTATGCAGACTAACTTTCTTCAAAACCTTGTATGTTCCTCTGCTACCAAAAAAAAAGGGAATTATGTTCTGCTAGGTTTATCGAAATGGCCTGTGTCAGTTAAAGAACAACTATAGCACTAACACAATAAAGAAAGCCCTGTGAGCGCAAGAAGTTACCATAAATGTTGAAGACAGCCTTAGGGTAAACGTTTTGGCCTAAAAAAGGAGAAATTAACCAAAATCACTTAGAGCAGCAGGAATATTAATATAGAGAGGTAAATTTCAAAGCCAATCTAAATGACATATGATGACAGGTTGAAAAGTACAATTATTTAGTTTCATCTTAAACGGTATCAACATTTTCTACATCTTTTACAAACAATATTTCTGTATGGAAGTCATGGTTAAAGAAGTGCTGGTGTTTTAGAAGAAAGCATTGATCATGTTTTAGTTAAATTCCGAAACATGCATAACTCGTCGGCAACTATTGGAGTTAGGTTTTCGTTCGATAGAGGTACCGCGTTACCTGTATGCTTTACACGACCAAAGTCAAAGGTGATTACTAAAAATACTCATCAATCATCATAACATCGACAGGTATTAAGAGAACGTTTAAAGCCGCGCCATTATAAAGCAATTAATTAAAAAAAAGCAATTATTTTTCTGTGGATATGGACGTCACGGTTTATGGTTGTGTGACGATATAGTGTCCTTAATTGTAGACAAAATCGATATAACCAGAGGCGAATAATACTGGTGTTTTAGTGGTGTAACCCCCAACAAAGGAACAAAACAAAAGTAAACATCTTTCCTCTACAAAAAAGAAATTACGCCAAAAGAGCAGTTTTTAAGAAGTTCTTGCTTATAGATAAAAGTTCAAAATAATAATGATAATATATACATTAATGCAAACGGTTACAATGTCAAAAGGCATCGATATACAAGAGAATGGTTTTGAAAAAGAAATTCAACGCATCTACCTAATATGACGATTCCAGTAACCTTGCCCATATAAACCTTTTTGATTTATATAAAACGGTCAATTTTTAACCAGGTTAGCCCTATCAGTAATAAGATCTAAAATGCTTAAACAAACGAATTTACCTATGATGCACCTTTTTCAATTTTATTCTTTTATTAGATTAAATAAATTCTTCTTTGTTTTTTGTTTTTCCAATGTATACGTGTATATACAATGTACTTTTCGTTGCCTATTTTTTACAACGATGTTTATTGTCATGTTACTGTGATTGGAGACAAATAAAGTTCAATTCAAATCAATTCAAACCAATGACGTATGTTACATGATCCGAAAACAACATTCTTAGTATTAATTTAATAGGGTACTAAAATTGCTCTTTGATTACTTAGAAGTCTTGCAATCCTGTTTATATATATATTTTTTAATAAACCCCCTCTTTTGCAAGGATATTGCCTTAATTATTCTGTTCACATGTTAAACAGTTCGCGATGCCTTTGGTCATCTCTGTTGAAAAGAATAGCTTGTGTATGAAAGTCATTAGAACTTACGATAATATCAATATGCAGTAATAGAATAGTCGTTAATCTATGTTGCAAGATTATTGCCTTACTAATTCTATTTACTAAATATTGAATTGTTCGTGATGTCTTTGGTCATTTCTTTTGGAAAGAATGGCAGGTGTATGGAAATCATTAGAACTTACGATAATTTCAATATGCAGTAATAGAATAGTCTTTAATCTGAAGTAGAATCATTTTGTAATTACGTGCAGAAGCCAATATATTCTTAAATATATATATCTGTAAAGCGCTTTGAGAGGGCCTTCGGTCTTGAAAAGCGCTATATAAGAACTAGCTATTATTATTATTATTATTATTATTAAAGAGACTTCTTTTCCTTTATTTCTTTAAGAAAAAGTCCTCGCTTTTTTTGCAAAGCTTCTGCTGAACTTTGGAACAAACTACCTTTACATGTTAAAAACTGTCAACCGATTCAAAACTTTCTTTTGATGATTAACTTATGAGAAGTGTTCTATATCTCATAACGGACTACGTTTTGCATGGTCAGTATCGTGGTAGTAGAGGGCATCACTGTCTGCAATCCCATTCACTCCATGTCAAACATTTCTGCAGAATGCATCCGGTCTGTTTTTTTCTCGAGAAGAGAATAATATAGTTCTTATTATCACAATTCATGACATTCTTAATAAGAATATAGCATCGACTCCAAGTTAAAGTAAATGTAAGTGATGTCACTGCCTAGCTAATCTTATTCATTTCATGGAAAACATCTATGCGGAATGCGTCCGGACCGTTTTTTCTCGAGAAAAAAATGGTATAGTTTTTATTTTTACAACTCATGATGTTCGTAATAAGAATAATTTGAAGCATGCCGGACTTCAAATAAAGGTAACTTTGTGTGCTTATGTGAAACGAACTCATTTTGCCAGAAGTAATCACGTTTCAAAAATAGTTTTTAGGACGTCTTTTTTCGTGATTGTGATGGATAGCTACGAGGGCGCCAATATCTATAATGCCTTAAAGGGATTTGGTAACTTTGTCTCAGATGCTGAAACAAAATCCTGAATTTAGCTAATGCTGAAATCAACCTTTAGGTCAGCCAGAAACCCCATGACTTTTACAAGCCAATCGCCTGTCTGATTATCAAGATATTGATGATGGAAATCTAGACTTAAAAATTGATTTCCAACGGTTTCTCATAACACACCAGTCTATTGGGGAAATGAGTACGGTAGAACCGGTCACTAAAAGATTTTTACTTTTTTGAGGCACTTCATGATCGATTTGAACCGCAATTTTTTTAGGGTGACAATATTACACCACATCACAGACAACGATACCACATAGAGCCATACATCTCAGATTTGACATTGTTTTACGATGTCTTTAAACAAAGCTATTTTTATTAAGCAGTGTAGATTAAATGCACGTACTGATGAAAATGAATAATTATGTGATTATGTATGGCTCCATTCTGCCAGAAGGCATCACGCACTTTGAGAGAAATGCTCTTTTCGATTAAAAAACACATATCATAATCCATCTTACGATGCATAAAATACAAGAGCGTCATTTGATCGAATGACAGTGACAGTGTTCTTCGTGAACCATAACGTGTTTGAAGGTTGCAGTGCACTTTTAGATAGTCCAATAGACAATTCTCGTATTTATTAATTTTAATGAATATATTTTTGTTAAGTGCATTATTACAAATGATTATATTTAACTGTTATAAATAATTGAATTTCAATACAGAAATATTGTCAAAATTCGTGAGAAAATCGTGACAATTATGCATGTACATATGTACGTGCTGGGCGCTGGCATTGAGATACGATGTATGCGCATAATAAACCAGCTAGATAGTGAGAGAGGGGAAATCATTTTGCAACCCATGAAATCAAAGTTCGCGAATTTACCCTAAATTTCGGGAAAATTAAAATGACTTTTTCTCCCATTTTAGGGATTAAAACATTGAAAAATGTCCCTACAAATGTATATTATACGCGAATATTAACAACATTTCGCGAAAATAGTAATGTAATTTAGACACAGATGCGGTGGATAGGCTATTTATTCTTCTTCTTCTTCTTCTTCTTCTTCAAGATAATCTGCCTCCTTCAATTCAATACTGAAGATTCCTGGATATGCCATATACTCGGCCTGGTTGGGGTATGAATTTTAGTAGTGCATCAGGTGTTGCATTTTAGTAGTGCATCAGGTGTTCTGCAAGGGCAGTTCCACAATTAAGAAGATAGTAAATAGTGTAAATAGTTCACTACAAAACTTTAGGAATTTTATTTGTCATATATTATATATTTGAAAGGTGTTGTAACGATTCAAGCTCTATTTGCTTATGTTTCATCACCTTTGTGTGTTCATTCTTCAAACTGTATATAGGTTGCAACTTGTCTTTGATAAAACAATGTTATATTCTTTTTCACGTGAAGTTAATTCAAATGTATTGTAAAATTGAAAATGATTTGTCATCTTATATTAATTTTCATGTGATGTTAACTTCAATGAATTGTGAAATTGTGAACATGCATAAATAAATAAATAAATAATAAAATAAATTAAGTGAAACCAGAGTCATCCTTATTTCTTTCTCCATCCGTCTCTATCTTTAGTCTTCTTCTTCATTTTGTCATAATGATCTGTCACCTATCAAGTCTAATGATATCCCAATGCTTGCAGAAAAGGAAATAGATTGAATACAGTGCGTCCCAAAAAAACTATACACTTTTGAAATGGCTGCCGAATAAGAAATGAAATTCATGAATGTATCATATTACCCTTAATTCCGTAAGCTCCAAAGGATTTACCTCTCACAAATTGGAAGGCTAATTCCTGCGCATCCTAATTTTCATACCCTTTACAAAAGTGAGCAGTGCTCACTTAAGCATGAATTAGTTTCGGACTTTTTGGTGTCATATAAAAGTTGAGTTCATGAGCTTTCCATATATATAAAACTTTCCCCCAGAATCATATATTTTTTTTATTCGGCAGCCATTTCAAAAGTGTATATTTTTTTTGGGACGCACTGTATATCATGTCTCCAAATTGGATAACTTAAATCGAGTTACTCTGCCTTCGAATGCTATATTGACAGTCGGGTTTATTTCAAATGATCGGTTTTAAATTAAGTAGAACGAGGAAGCACGTAATGCTGACAGATATTATTTATTCAAGTTTCTGTCTAAACCTCAGTGCCCTATATATTACATTCATATCACATGGCTATAGATTAATGACTACTCAAACACGCGTGATATCTAGTTGCAGAAAACACTTAAAAGTTGATGAATATATATAAGACTGTTTATGATTTGACTCCCGTTGTTGGGAGGGAGCTGAAATCTCTTGCTGTTGTTGGTTGCTTGTTTTGTTTTACCTGACTGCTAAGAAAGCATGTGTATGCGTGTTTATACGGCTCTAAGTCCTCTCTGAGGGACCTGGTAATGAGGATTAATGTCTTACCAAAAGGCACTAGTACATCGACTTGGTTTCGAACCCGGGACCGTCCCAGTTACGAGGCCACTGCTCTACTAATGAGCAATCGCGCTTTGCTTGAACGTTAAACTTCCAGTTTCTAAATGTCGTGAGCCAGCGCAGCAAGTCAGTAAATTATTGACTCTTTTTATAACCTCACAACTAGTTGATTTTGCCCTTCACAGCAATCCTAAAACAAAACGAATGATTAAAAACCCACCACCATCTTAGTCACAGGTATTATAATATTAGTTGTGTTTTAATACTGTTGCTGTCTTTTTTTGTGTCGTGAAGTGCAGAAGGGTTTGATTTAATAGTCCAAAACACCTTGTGATAATAG